CAGATTTGACAACGTCGTATCTCTTTTCTTTGTTGGTCAGGACTATGTAGTTCTTTTGTTGACTGAGATTTCTATATGCTGTAAAATTTATTGGCTAACGTTGAGAAACCAACATTACTGTGCTGTTAACCTCATTCCAAATAGTCACACCCACTCACAATAATGAAAATAATTGAAGTGTCTTGGCATTGCGCCAATGTCCATTCTGCAAAAGAATCATTTCATGCCAAAAATATTATTCACCGTGAAATTCTTCGGTATCGAACATGTGACAGAATTGATGCTCTGGGAACATTGCATGAAACTATCACAGAAGAGCGGGAAAAAGTGTCGCTTTAGTTTATTTGTTGAAACTGTTGAATTATTGCTTCGATTTTCTTTTTTCAATTATATTCACTGCTTGGACATTTTTTTTTTCTTTTAAAAGGAATAAACAAAATATCGAAAGGGCGGTTTTTCCAATGACACCACAGAATGAAGAGGCTATTTTGCTGGTCCCGGTAAAATAGACAAATATGCTTTTGAGCTTATTTTACCAGTCTCGGTAAAAAAATAGAAACCTATGCTATTTTGTCGGTAAATATTTCTATTATTACGAAGGCAGGTAATGTTAAAAATAACAACAAACAGATTTAATACAGAAGTTTATTTATTTTCTCCATCAATTGTTAAGACAGTTTAAAATCTTTTCCACCATCAATTGTTAAAACGCAAGTTAAAAACATTTATTCATCATCAATTATTAAAAAAAAATATAGAAGTCTGAATATTTTAATCACGTCAGGCATAACAGTCTCTGAAAATCCAACTTAGCTAAAAAATAAGATTAGTTAAAAAATAAGATTAGCTAAAAAATAAGTATAAAATCTTATGGTATTATTAAAAGGAAAAAAAACACAGGATTTTTTTTTTTTGTTATTAAATTATATTTTTTTACCGTTTTTGTCTTTTTTTCGTCAACGGGTGACCACAAATTTATATGGGGAAATTTAAGCGTCTTTTTACGGTGAAAAGCTCATTAATTTGGAAATTCTTGCAAAAATCAGAGAATTGTTGGAATTTAATGAAATTTTCTGGACTTATTCACAAATGAATGAAATTATTATTTTTTTTTCTAAATCTTTGTATTTTCTTTTGTTATCTCCAAACTTATTTAATTTATGAAACTTCGAGAAATTCATTTTTGTAGAGCTTAATGTTTATATGAGATATGAGGATTAGTTCTTGAAGAATTTAAATCAGTATTTTTTTACTAATCAGTATCCTCAGTTATCGAAAATCTGCCCTAAATCGTAAAATTTTATGAATAATATATATATATATATATATATATATATATATATATATATATATATATATATATATATATACACTAATCTCATCAGAAAATTTTTTCGATGAATAATGAATTTTTGTAAGAAATATTTTCATTGTTTTTAAATTCCAGTTAATATACTTTATAAGTTTAGCATTCTGTATTAACTTGTAGAAGTTAGGTGATGTTGTTATTAAATAAAAAAAATATATATTTACTTATCATAAATGGAAAAATTACTACAATTCAGTGATCCCCTGTATTTTAAAAAGAAATCTGAATTTTTTATGCGTTTGTGTAAACATGACGATTTTTGTAAATACGGACATTATCAGAAAATAAAAGGAGTAACTATAGTAAAGTTAAAATACACAACATTATCAGAAAATAAAAGGAGTAACTATAGTAAAGTTAAAATTTACTAGCAATTTTCTAAATTTTCCTCAACAGGCTTCTTCGTAATGTGACTACAAAGACAAAGTACATAATTAATTAAGATTATAAAAAAAAAGTATTAACGTTGTATTCGTCAAGTAATTTTTAGTTCACTTAAATTGCTTTATTTACAAACACCAAACACCAGACATCAATAAATGTGTCAACACATCATAAAAACACCTCCCAGTCCGGCGATATTTTAATATTTTATAGTTTTTAATTCAAATTAATTAAACATTAAATCAGTTCGTCTTCCGCAAATAAGGTTTCAGAATAGTATGTTATTTTTGAAGATTTTTGAAAATTATTATGTTGTGTTGACAGATTTGTTGGCCGATTTTAGCGATTTAAAAAAATAATCCCAATCAATTTAAATTCAATTCGAAATATAGCAAAGTACTTTATTCGAAAATGTTTATAACTGCATAGTTTTCAAATATCTAAATTGTACTTGTTAAAACTACAATTAAAAGAATATTTTTAAAACACGAAATTACAATTTTTAATAAGAATTTACATATATTAAGTTAACTCTCTTATATAGCTGTAAATTTTTCGCAATTCATCCGGAAGATTATCTAGGATTAGATTGGAAGTATTTGTAAAGATAAAAAAATATAAAAATAGCTTCGCCATCTTTCTTCATCAATTTAATAACGACACTAAGAAATTGATAAGCCAATATGAGATGATTAAAATAAACATAAATATACATATAATATGTCTAGATTGTTCAATCAAACATGC